AAAACAATGACTCTTCGTTCTTTCTCTGTCACTCCGTTTTAGTATCGACTTTTTTTTGCCTTTCCACTCTGCGTGCACGAGGCGTTTTATGAGCTGAAAAACTAGCCAAATTTGTACCCTTCGCTTCACCACGCTTGCAGCAACTACTGCGTCTCGCACTTTCCGCGAGCTTGCCAATTTGTTGTTGCCGCGGCAGTCTTTTTGCCCCTCATTTTCCTTCGTGAATCAAAATAATGGCCAATTTGTACCGCAAAAGTGAAGAAAACAGTCCAAGTTCTAGCAACGGTAACTGCGCAGTCTTTAGATGGTTGCAGCGTTTGAAATGAAAAGGACAAAGGATCCTTCACAAATATGGTAACTACAAAACCACGTTTTATGTGGCCATAAATTTTCACGTCAGAAAGGTGTGATTATTGAGAAGGCCAAACACCTCGAGGTTTTTCATTCAATGGAAAGTGAGGCTGCAGTTTTGGCAAGAAAATGATTCATTATTTTGTTACAAATGTAAAATTCATGATTATTGATGAATGATACTAAAAAATATATGAAAAAAATAAAATTTTTCATAAAAGTATAAAAAAGGCAATAATTAAATTACATATTTGATATATTTATTTATATCCTAATTTAAAAAGTTATTTTGAAAATAACTAAATAATTTAATATTAACTTCATGAGTAGCTTACAACAATAAACAAATAAAATTGTCGATCTATAATTAACAAGCTTTATTTCAAATATAAGAAATTTATTTTGAACCAGTCTCAAGAGGATAATATTCAAATTTGCATTTTATTCCGCAGACTAGGTAGGATTTTGCTCCTGAATGTTTTGAATCGACAAGTGCGCGCCTTAATTCAAGATAAAATCAAAGCGGCCGAGCCAATCTGGCGAATTTGGTCGGCGCGAACCCAGCCGAAAAGGATTAGGTGCATAATTAGATGGCGGCTGGAACGAGAGTCTGCTTTTTTCCACCGCATTTGCAACTCTCGCTCGCAGACGGTGAAAAATCCGCGGCTTACAAATTAATAGGGCTGTGCAAATGTAAGTACAACGTTGTCGTTAATTAATCCGGTGCAGAAATCCAATTAGTGCGCCGTGCGCGAGTTGGAAAGTATTGCTTTCGCATTGTCGACGGGATTTATTTATTTGTCGTGGGGTTGGGGGAGGTCAAGAGTCGCTCGCTCGACGCGGGACACGCGTAATTTGAGCCCGACTAACTAACTTGCGTTCGCTTGCCCGCCCAACCGAGCAGGTACACAGACAACAAAAACTAGGGGCTTCTGATTCTATTAGGTGCACGACCCAGACAACTAGAGCGGTCAGCTTAAGCCAGGTAAATGGCGTTTGATGAGCGTTTAACGAATGACACCGCCGAATACCCACGCCAATCGTGACCTGTAAGATCCAAATTTAAATGACCAAGTTTGCAAACAAGGCAAATATCATTTTATTTTTTTTTTTTTTATACAAAAAGTGAGCTGTGAGAAGCATTAATTAAACAATCTCTTTATTAAAATAACATTGGAATCACAAGATTTTGATTAAAAATTAATTAATTCAATATTTTGCTCTTATCAATTTATAATTTAAATATTTTGACCTTCCTTCAGAAAACTTGATACAATTATATAAAGAAACAAAACAAAACATATAAAAATTAATATTTTTTACATGTACATTTTCAATCCCATCTATAAGTGGAAATTGAACATTTCTGACAATTCATTTATTAAATCAACAATCTCATCGAATATTGAATACAAAGAACCCTGAATATTATAATAAATATCAAATTAATTTTGCTAATTTTCTTGTAATTTTTTTACAAAAACATTTTTCACAAAAACAACACGGTTTTGTTTTCCTCCCTGGTAATTTTTTTTACGAAAACAAATTGGAGCCCGGTGCTCATACAAAGTTGCCCTCGCACTTTCCTGCACCCCTTTTAATTAAGTCCGTCTGACAGACGATTAATTTTTTTCTCTTACGCATGCAAAACAGCGCGAACACAGAGGAGAAAGAGAGAAAAGGAACAGAGCGGCGACGGCACGTGCGTCACTCGTTAATTTTTTTCTCCGTTGACATTCGACGATACACAAATTATCAGACCCCCCTAATAAGAATTTTAAAAAACAATAGAGAATTTTTTTTAGCAAATAAATTTTCGTATATGTTGATTTGTGATATTTTTCCAGGGGTGTTTGTCAATAACGCGACGAAGAGGGTTGTCGGACCTTGGAATAATGTTTCAAGGCTGTCAAGACCGTTTTCGTCTCGAGAACGAGGCTCGTGTCACGCCAACCAGTGGATGGTGGTGAACTTGGCCGCCGTCGCCGCCGGCAGACGCAAATTTCACACCACCAGAAAGAAGAAGCGCGCCGATTATCTGGCGTCGTCGTCATTTTTCGCCAGTTCGTGCCTCTCATATGACTCACGGACTATTTGAAAAATGCGTATGTACAGCTAGAGAAAGAGAGAATGGAATCGGAGAAATCGGCGTGCAGATCTGGTTGCGCTCGATTTTTGCAAGCGGTTTCTTGTTTCGACCGCTGGAATTTGCTCGACGGCGCTTTCTTTCGGTTTGTTTTTTCCTCTCGAAAGAAGGAGGAAGAAAATTCTTGTGGGTTTATCGACCAAGCAAATAAGCAAAAGTTATTATCATAAAAAAAATTGTTTTTTTAATAAGAATAAAAAAAAATTAATAAAATTAATTTGAGTTCAAGAAAAAGTCTAAAAATTTACGAATGTGATTAGACATTACAATAGCAAACTAATTTTTGTAAAAAAAAATTGATCCCCTTTGATATAAACAACAGCGTAAGTAACAATTTTTTTTTATAAAAAATAATAATATTTAATAATTGTTGACGACGAAAGAAATTGTTCAAATTTTTTGTAATTATTTGAAATTGAATTGATGATTTTTTAATTTTTTTTACTTTTTTCAATTCATTACAAAATATATAAATCATATATTAGTTTAATCAAACATTTAATAAAAATCATACAGTTTAAACTGGTGGCATGTAAAAAAAGAATAATTAAAGGTTTATTTATTTTAGGAAGCACTTCGTCTTTAAATTTGGTATTTTATCTTATTCCATATTAATTTGCATCTCATTCATTGACTAAACACATAAATTATCCTGTGTTTCATTGCAGTTTATTGAATAAATGATCATTTTGATTAATTGCTGAATATTAATCAAGTGGATTTGGCAAATATCAATTTCCTAGCCGACCGCATCGGATTCCGCCCCATTTCCAGGCGAACCGGCCCATTACATAATTCGCATCCCTTTCGGCTGGTGCACACCCCTTTCCTATATATCTATGACTCACTCTGGGCGCCCCTAGCAACAAAGTCGAGGCGCCGCGTGAGCCGCACGCCGGCCTCGCCCGCCCTCAACCCCCCGGCAACGGCCGACCCCCACCCGGGGGCCGTCCGAAGAGGCCCTTTTCGAGGTCAGGGCGGCCACCCTGGCGTCAGGGAGCGGCCTGCGCTTCAGCCACGTGTCGTGCGTTTCCACTGCTGATGCTGGGGTAACCATAGAAACGATGACGTCATCATCATAGCGGCGGCGGCGGGCGGCTTTTCTCTTTTCTGTCCGCCGCCGCCGCCACTGCATTCCTCCTGCCGCACCCCTAAACACACTCGCATCCCTGTGTGTCGCAGTGGGTAGCAAAGGTGCCACCCTCCGCGTGCACCAGGCCGACCCCTGACCTTTCCGCAGCAGCCGCCCCCGCTCGCTGCTCCACAGATTTCTCGCATTCACTTCACTCGATTGGGGTTGTGTGTGTGGATGTCCATTAGGAACCATTCCGAGGGTCTGCACCTCACCCCTAACAAGTTTGGCGGCACGTCAAAGGGCCAATTAACTCAATAGGATGGCCAATCCCATGTTTGTTTCAAAAAATCTGAATTTCACCGATTTCTTTATGAAAATTGACATTTTTATCAATTGTTAAGAATTTATTTATTTAAAAACTTTTTTGAATTGCTAAAAAAAACACTGAACCGCAATTTTAGATTCATTTTAACCCCACAAATAAAATCTAGTTCAATAAAGTGAAAATCAGTTTTAAATGTATGAAAAATATTTTAAAATAATTTAACTTAATTCTCAACAGTTTTGATAAAACGGTGAGCAAGTTTTTAAATTGTGATTAAAACTCTATTGTTTTCAAAAATGGGATAAAAATCGCGGAAACATTTATCCCACATAACTGTATTTATAAAAATTTCAAATTGTGAAGAGTAAACAAATATTAAACATAGAGTGCTAAAATATTTTTTATTTTTTAATTCAGTTTTAACGAAGTACTTGTGACTAATCGCCCTGACGCGAAATGTTCCGAGGTCACAAGTACTAATTTAATTCTTTACCGTTTGAAGTGGTTCCTTTGGTTTTTAAATTATAAAAAATCACTTTTAACGATTGCATTGGATAAAAAAAGGAAATATACCAACATAGCAAATGATGATATGAAATATATATATTTTTTTTAAATATATAGCCTAAAAAATAACATTAATTCAAATTTTTTGAAATCTCCAATGCCAAAATTTAGCAACATCTTGACCATTTGCAAAACGTTTAGATACGCAAAATGATGATTATTTCACATCGCGTCCTGCACCGCTGGCCAAATGAAACTGCGCATCCATTCGAGCAGGTCAGAAACACCCGCAGCAACAGCGAACAAGGCTAAGTGAGTCGTGTGCGACGCACTTGCAGGCGGAAGCCAATCAGGCCGATAAACCCGCTGTTTATTTTTTTTTTTACGTGCGCGGAACAAAGCTCGGGCGGCGCGAGAGAAGTTGGAGACGAATTAAAAATTCGCAAAAGAGGCGACGCAAGGCGATAAAAGAAGCCGAGGAGGAATTAGCGTTGTGACCTTGGTCATGTGACGTCACGTGGAGCGCACATTGTATGTTTATAGAGCGGCGGCCGGTCGGTCGGTCGGCCGGGCTGTGCGACGCACGTAACGTCACCGCGCCGAGCTCGGCTCCCCAGCAACAACCACGTGAGAAGAAGAAGAAGGGCCAGCAGAGGTGCAGAGAGAAAAGAAGGAAAAGAGCATCAGGTGCAAACACGCAGTTTCTTTCGCAGGTCATTGATTTCCACGCCAAAAAAAAACTTCCCGCCCGCCTCATGGGAAAACGGAAGAATAAGGAAATCTGACAGAGCGATGATGCGTGGGAATTTCCACAGGAGGGAATTCTAATGGGAAAGTTTCGATTTATTTCGTTCCATCAAAAATGTTGACCGGCGGTTTTTGAAAGAAAAAAAGAGTTAATTATTATGAATTACTGTCTTTGCTTCTTCTGTTATCAATTTAAGCACAACAATTTAAAGAAATTTTTGATTTCAGAGAATTAAAAAAACGACGCTGAAGAAGACTTTTTAGCTAAAATATGAGCCTAAGATGTTGCAAATTAAGGACCAGTCTAATGAAAGCCAAAAAATCAATTAATACTTTTGGAATTTGAGGTTAAGTACTCTTATCTTAATATTCTATAAGATAATTTTTAATTTATTTATTTAGACGCACAAATTTTTGCCTCCTGCCGAGTTCCCTCTCCTCAGCTCGCAATTAGTGAAACTCGCCGGTTGATCAAAACCTTGCAAGGCCAAAGCATCATGTGACTCTCGTTGGCTCGCAATTGAAGCCGAATCGCGCGATGCTCGGTGGCGTCAAATAAATAATGTAAACAAACAAGGTCGCTGAACGTCCGGATGGCGGCGAACAACGTTAGGCGCAAAAGTAATGCGAATCCTAATGTTGGTGTTTTATTATCGCGCGCCGGGATAGATGATCTCGCGATTATCTCGTAAAAATTGCCGCTTCCTTTTTATCTCGCACATTTATTTCTTTTTTCTCCGCGTCTCTTATCAAGTAGGTCAAACTTGGGAAATGACGCGCAATATAATAAAGCAGCTCGATGATGGAGCCTCGGCCGCCGCCGCCGTTTTATGAATGAATGAAATCCGAGATTATAGTGCCGGCGGTGGGCGGGACGGACCAATGGACGCGCGGATAATGCACCACAGATTATCGCCCCGCGTTTATGCTGCTCTTTCCCCCTTTGTGTTATTACGATGTGTCGGACCAGAGTTCTCTGCTGACCCCTGCTTGAAACCTGCCAGTAATATTTATTATGGTGCAAGGGGCTTTCCGCCGCCGCCAAATAATAAAAATCCGTATACGGTCCGGCGGCACCCCAGCAGCTATATCGTTCTTTATCTGCGCGTTTTCCGATTCGATCTGCGTGCTTTTAAGATCCAATTTCCGCCAACTGGAAAAAAAAGAGTCTCCAGGTTTTCCAGGAAAGCCGCGATTTTTACGAGGAAGGAGAGAGGAAATCTGAGATAATTGTTTCAGGCTTAATTAAGACATCAAAACCCTTATTAAAGAGATTCAAATAAAAGGAATATTTCAAATTCTATTATGTTTTAGTGTGTTGTTAATTTTGTTAAGTGTAATGAGCTTTCAATAAGCGAAATCATGATCCTCGTTAATCCAAACGGTGTTGCCGTTTGTCTAAATTCTTTAAGTTTTAAGTGGAAAAAATATTATGTTGAAACAGAAATCCAAATCTTTTTTGGAAATAATTAAAATTTCCAATTAAAAAGTAGATATTTTTACATTTTCCGAGCAGTTTTTTTTTTGCTCAGTTTCTGAATCCACGTTAAGATTATTTTTCAAAATCTTAGTAATTTCTCTAATGTATTAACAATTTTCATCAACAAATTTTGAAAAAAGGAGCAGAGATTGTGATAAATTCAAATAAAAGCCGCTTTTCAGCAAAACACGTGGTTGAATGGGAACATCATCTCATCTATCTCGTTCTCCGATCTGCTGTTTATGGCCCATCTAATCCCATTGCGAACCCAAAGTGCAAATAAGGGAAAGACGTGTGCAACCTTTCAAATCCGGCCGACCTTTGCTCGGGTTCTTTTCAGCCGGCTCGATTATTTTTTTCCTCTCTCTCCTATCCGGCGGCGGGTCACGACCTGCGCCTCTTCTTTCGCCGCCATCATCAGCTCCATTCTATGGCGCTCGTTCGTATTAGAGGAGGCGCCAGTAATGGAAAGAAAGAGCAAGAGGCCCTATAGAAGAACACATACACACTTGGCGACAGACAAGCAACCCTTGCTCCGCACCAAAGTGCTGTCGTGTGTGAGCGGACAGGTGGTCTCGCTTTAAGTTCCTTTTTCCTCCTTTTGTCAGCGGCGTCGCGTGAAAAGAAATGGAGCGAGCGCCTCTCCGCTCTCTCGTTGTTCACCTCAATTTGCCTAATCCGCTGCGGTGCGCCAGCTTAATTAATCGGCCGGCTCGTTCGTTTTTCTCAAAGTCCGCGCAGGTATGTTATGTGCTGCGACGTGTCCTGTTAAATTGCATTTCGCAGCCTTCGCAGGCCTGCCACGCCGACAATTGAATTTCTGCGAGGCGCACTTTTGCAAGTAACGAAATTTTCCGCAGACGACCGGCGGAGATGGAATCTTGTTTGCTGCTCCGATCGGGCCAAAAATTGGATCTGGACCACGCTTCGGTAATGTACAATGACCGCTGGCCACAGGGGTCGAACAGGATCGGACAACAGAATGGCACGTTTAACACTATTGAACAGCAATTTTGATTCAAGTGGGCGAGAGAACGGACTAAATTTCAGAGAATACTTCCACATCAACTATAATTTTGTTTTTTAATTTACTTTGACGAATTAGAAAATTCCTAATTCATACTTCAAAAGATAATCTTTCTTTTTTAAAATAATGACCAAAATATATTAATTTTTGAGCCATTTTGAAAATTAATTTCTCAATTAAAAGTAAAAATTTGGTTTGTATTCCATTCTTTAAAGCCAAGTATTTCTCGCACACTTTCAGTAAAACCTCTTAATAAAAACTAACAAACATTTTTGTCATTTTTTTATATTTATCAATATTTTTTGATTAGTCTATTCTATTTATTTTCATTCTAGCAGAATCCCTTGAATTGCAACGGAAATAAGTATTTTTTCAAATTAAATCTGAACAACAATGCGCCTCGATAGATTTACGATTTCCATAATTTAATAACTTTTGAATATAATCTTCTTAGTTGGAATGGAGTTTCCGAGCCCATTTTCACTCCAAAGTTACGACAGCCTGTTGAGGATCAAAATTTTGCGGCCTGGATAGAGAGAGCGTTTGGTCTATTTTGCGTTGGAGCGAAAAGCTTTTAACTTCGCATTTACGGCCGGCGCAAGTTAAATTGATCGCACTTCATACACGATTGCCTGACCTTCCTCCACGGATCTTGTGTTTACTTTTGTCGTTTATGACGAAAACGCCCAGCAACTTGGCAGCCGACGAAGTGATTGATTGTCGGCGCCAAATTCTCTTCGGATAAATTAATGCACTGCGATTGTTTGCAGACACAAGGAAAATTAGCAGGGAAGAAAGATGATAACGATGGTGCGAGGTCAAGCAGCCGAGTTCAAAGTGCGGCGACGCACGTCAACGAGGAAGGGCCCTCTCAGATAATATACACAAGTTTTTATAACGAAACCAACGCGTATAAAAAGTGTGTTTACGTTTCATTGGTTATGTTATTATTTGGAATGAGAGAGATAAACTCTGAAGAGAGCGTTTGTTTATCTTCGGGCGAGTTGATATTGTATTTAATTGCTCTGCGCGCTTTTTTGCCTTAATTGAGTTTATTTCGGTCTGTTCGTAATTTGACCCTTGTTTATTCTGTTATGTGATCTACGCGGATGCCTCTTTAGTTACAAAAGTGATGGAACAAAAAATTTTATGAGGGATACAATTTAAGATAAAAATATTATTTTTTATTTATTTATTTTTTATTTTTTTTTTTTTTATTTACTTGCCACTTTTAAAATATTTATTTACTGAAATAGGGGGAAATGAAATAGAAAATCTCAAAGAGCGCAGATTTAATTCTGTTTTTCTCATTTGAAAACTCAATTTTCTCGTCCTGCCTGCACGGGAAATTAGGCAGAACGGTTGTAGAATCAAAACAAACGACTCTCTCTGCTCTCCCTTTTGGACTCGGTGGAAAAGAAATTTGCATTCGCCGACAGCATAATAATAAATTGAATTAAAAGAGGCATTCCTCGGCAGGCAGGCAGGCACAGGGGCGATTCAATTTGGCAATCTGCACATCCCCCTTAACGACCTCCATCCCCTGCACAGGACCGGCCGGAATCGTTTCACACAGATTACACCGCCCCGCATTCGTCGGGGACAAAAGAACGAAAGGGTCGTAAATATTAGCGCGCACGCCACGAATTAATAAACAAATAAATGCCGGCGCTGCTGCTGGAATCGGTTAATTTGCCAGACCGAGAGGAATGTCTGGCAATAAAGCGACTGCGAAACACAGCATTATTATTCTCTGCCGCTCTCTCTCATATTGTGAGACGCTGCATTAGTTCCGAGTTGGAGAATGCACGGCCGCCTTTTTTTTCTCTCTCTTCACATATACATTTTGACGTGCGGCGTGATTCGAATAGTTTGGCCAAATGAGCGGCGGCGAAACAAAAGAGGCATCAAACTTTTTTCGCTCCTCCAACTCGAAAGAGTGGGAATTTTTTTTTACTTTTTTACGAGCCAGAAGGGTCCAGCATGTGACTTTCTTTCTTTCTTTCTCTGGCCACATCTTGTGTGTCGCAGACTTGCTTCTTTCTTTCTTTCTTTGGGGGGAGAAATTGCGCATAGCAACCGGGGCGGAATTCTCGCCACGTGCGCCAAATTAAGAGACGTGTACACAGATATTGTTTTGCCGGTTTTATTTCTTATTCTCTAGCTCGGACGGCGGAAATCTCGATCGATTGGCGGCGCCGCCGGAGGGTCTTCGATTTGCTCACTCGTGCATTTCGCCAAATGTACATGCACAGCGCAGCCAGCAGCAGGGGCTGATTGCGAATTCCGAGACGTGGAATAACACCGCCGCCGGCCACGTGACTGCCACATTAGGGCACCCGAGCGGGCCAGCCACGCCAGCCACGCACTCTCGGGCTTATTTATTTATTTCGGCTTGTCGCAGTCAGAGTCGAAAAGTGCCGTCTACAGAAAAGGAGGAATATACGGACAAAAAATATGATGCAAAATCCGAGAAGGGAAAACGTGGCACACATTATAGGTGGTTTGGATGTCAAGAAAGAGCAAGAAGAATTAAATTTAATGGTTTGCTTCTCTCTGTCCTTAAAAATAGCAAAGTATTCCGGTTTCAAACCATTACAGGTTTCTTCATATTTCAATAAACGGTTTATTGTGAATTTTTCTGAAATTTTATTTTTCAATAAAAAAATTTCAATAGGCAATACAACTGTCATTTTTTTTTTTTTTAAATTGAATTATTTCTAAAATAATAGCTAAGAACTAATTTGGCCAATTTTGTGCTGATGAGTGGTTAAAACTTCATGATTTGAATGTTAATTTTAATGAAAATTTTCACAATAAATCTGCCTGAATTTCAATTTCAATCCAAAAACGTTCTTCATTTACATTTATAAATTTTATTCCTTTTTCAAATCATTAAATTTTGGCCATTTTCACACATTTCCGCTGCGAAGTGTGCAAAAATAGAGCGTTCAGGATTTGGCGAACGGATATTGATTTGACCGTACGAGCGACAAAGACTATGAAACGTGTGTATGACGAGCGAGATGGTCAAATTGGCAGGCAAACAATCGTAAATAATGGTTTGGCGGCGGCGGCGGCGGAGGCGTCGACGGATGGATGCTGACGCAGCGGGCGAGTCGAGGAGAATCTAATTAAGCCGAATTTCATTAGGCCGTGCAGTGCGTACGTAAACACAATATTAAAAGTGCGAGGAGCGAGCGAGTGGGGCTGAGAGGGGGTGGGAGCATTTTACTGCGCCGCGCGCGAACGGCAAATTGGGGCAGCTCGCCTCGTCAGCAGCGGCGGCGGCGGCGGCAGCTCGGAGGCGGCTGCAGTGCCGTGCACCATAATGTAATGAGCTGCTGCGTACGCTGGAAATCTGGTGCGCGTATGAGCACGCATAATCAATACGGCGCGCACCGACCGACAGCATTGTTAACGGCATCGCCGCTTTTAATTACACCGACTGCAGCAGCCCTTTTTGCTCTCTCGACGGAGCCCAGGCCGCTCTCGACGCAGCCGCTCATGCGTCGATGCACTTGTGCATTATTATTAGCCATTTTAAGCGACTCTCTGCATTTCTGAAGCACGCACGAGGACGCACTTTTTCTCTCTCGAGAGTTGTTGCCGCTTGAAGCAGATTCAACTCGCAAACAATGCAGGATTTTATAGTTTCTTGGAAATTATAAATAATAGCACAGCTTTTTGTCAGCGAATGGCACTAACAGTAGTTTACGTTCTGTTATGATATTGCATTTTACACAATTCTAATTGTGGTAAATATCTTCCTCACATGAAGAAAACGGCTTTT